CAAAATACACCCTACTGTCATGTATACATAAAAACAACAAATAAAAATGGATCAATATTTTAAAATCTAATCATATATGTGAACCTTATAATTTAAATAGTATCAAATTTATACTTACAATGACTTAGGAAAGATAGAAGGTAAATATTCATCTTATCAAATGGATAAATATTAGTCATATCAAACACCTATCTCAAGCAGGTAAGCATAATTACTGAAATCAGGATTTAAAAAATATAAAGAAAATGTCTTTAATATGAAATAAAAATTCCTTTCAATGCTTGCTCACATACTGCAACAGGAAAGAGTATTTTAACCTAATAAAATGGGAATAAGTAACAATACTTGGATTTTGGTTCAGTGAATAGTAATATGTAAATATAAAAGTTTAACAGAATCACTTGCACTGTGTATTCTTGGTATATTTCCAAATTAGAGTAGAAGTTATTATGTGGATATAAAATTAGGAATTTTAGATATTAATAAGAACAAAATTTGTGGGAAAATTCTCACAGAATTTAGATGTGGAGATGGAAATGCTTGTGGGCATCCAGTGGTACTTCTTAGGAAGGCACTACATAAGACTAGAACAAAGATTGGTCCATGCAGTAATAAGGAAAACACTGAGCATTAAATGCAGACCCCTAACTATGACCAGAAAGCCCCACATCTTGTATCCTGGGCCACTCTTTGCAACTCTCCTCTTCATGGAAAAGAGCCACTCACTCTAGACTTCTTGCTGTCTTTCAAACACACCAGCATACTCCTGTTAAAAGGTTTTTGAATTTGCTGTTCTCCCAGAATGTTCTGACCTTTGCCATCCCATCTTGATGTGTATGGCACCTCTTCTCATTCTGGTCTCAGTTTGTAGACCACTTACTTCCTTTGAGAAGCCTTCCCTGACCAACAAACACAAATAATATAAACGGGACCCTTAAGTCACTGTCAATGTTATGACTTTTATTTCCCCCACAACACATAAAAGTATATGAAATAAACTCCCCTATTTATTATAGTTCTTTTTTCTAGATGACATGCTCAATGAAAACATAGGCCTTGTCTTATTATGCCATGGTATCCAGGGACTAAACAGTGATGACAACAAAAAATATTTGTATGAAAAATGTTAAATAAATGAAAATGCAAACAAGCATTTGAAGTTAGTAGTTCTAAAGTAGTAATTGAGGTCACGGCATGAACTGGATTGGGGTAAAGAACAAGTAACTACAGTGAGCAGGCACAGAAAAGAATACCTTGACAACACTATTATCTCCTTTTTTAGCCTCTTTGGGGATAGAAACTGGTCCTTTAGACTGAAAATTACTGGTGAACCAATTAGTAAATATTCACCTTGAGTTAAAAATGGATCCTTATTTTATTCTAACTTTATAACTGCTTATAATTAAATCAAATATAAGAACCCCCTTTTTGAAGTTTACAACTATATAGGAACATACCAGCAAGAGTATTTGGATTGATCTAGAGTCCAACCATTGTAACAAATTACCAATAAAATAAATAATCAAATAAAAAAGTATTGAATTTGGTCTTTCAAAAAGTGAAAGAACAGAAAGGTATTAATGATTACTACTTTATATAGCAACTCAGCATTGGATCAGTAAATACAAAAGTTTTTTCTTGAATATTAAAAATAATCCATTTTAGAATTAAAAATTATAAAACAATGAGAAAAGTGAGTTGACAGAAATCATTTACTTTACATAGTTTACTTGTAGAGGAACCAGAATTTGTGTAATTAATGCAGTGAAGGGAAATAAGAGCTAATGTTATAAACACTTTCTTTTGCTTTTGGAAAAATACCTTAATATCTTTAGGCCTCATATACTTTTATTTGTAGAACAAGGAGAGTAATAGATATTTAAAAGTTACTTTTTTTTAGTTTTACCTGTATTCTTTTAAAATCTCTGCACTGTGTTTATTAATATAAATGCTATGGGCAGGTAATCTGGAAATTTACATAATTGACCACAAGGGGGAGAACTCTAATTCTACATTAAATCATTTAATACAATGAAATAATCTGAAAGTATCTTGCTGTGTAAAGTTGGTGCAAGGCTGTCTTATTTTTAGTTCCTCAGGGAATCTGAGGTACAGCACTGAAGAGATAGGTTTAATTTAATTGAAATGCAGTTTTATGTAACTAAAGTTACAAGAAAGATACTGTATGTCAAAAGCTATTTGGATTAAGCAATAATTCTCCATGAAGAAATAGAAATGTTTCTTCTATTAATAGGGAGACAACAGTTTTTTAGAATTTAGCCTGGGAGAGTTTTCCTTTCAAATATTATTTCAGTTATTCTTCAAGAAATCTGTAACCTTCCTGAAACTCATTATTCAACTCTAAAGCAAGCATACATCAACAGGGCAGTCTATTACATAGTATCTACAAAAAAATCAAAAGATTTAGGGTGGAGCTGGCTACAAAGTTTGAATTTTCCATGTTCATGAACATATATGAATATATGTTATAGTTCATTGTTATCTGAGTATTGAATACTGTATGTTCACAGTGTTAATTTATTTTTATCTTTGGGTGTAAGGAAAGTATAACTTTGATTGAGCTGAAAATTATGAGTTTTCATCAGGTTTAATGATTTATATTTTGAGGATTTATCAAACTAAGTTATATTTGTATGGTCCAAATGTAAGATTCTGATTTTTATCAAATATACTCAAACCATATACAGCTAAATCAGTCTCCTTTACACATTATTATTGTAAGCGATATAAATGTCTCAGTGCTATACCTGCTACAGAAAACAATGGGTACTTCCCCTTAAAGGCAGGATGTTATGATTTAGACTTAGAATGTTCCCCAAAGTCTCCAAAGACCAAAGGCTTGGTTGTCAATGCAGGAAGTTTAGAGTAGGTCCTTTAGGGAATATTGAATCATGAGGGCACTAACCTTAACATTGGATTAATCCATTTGATGGGTAATTGGGAGTTGGCACAAACCGTAGGAGGTGGGGCCTACTTGGAGGAAGCCCGCCACTGAGGATATACCCTGGAAGGGTATATTTTATGTCCAGTCCCTTCCACATTCCCTTTAYCTGCTTCTTAGCTTCCATTTGCTGAGAAACTTTCCTTTGCTACTTCCTTCCTTCATGATGCTCTACCTCAGCTAAGGTTCAAAGGAATGGAGTCAACCAACCATGGGCTGAAACCTCTGAAACTATGAGTCACAATAAAACTTCCCTCCTTTTACTTGTTTATGTCAGGTATTTTGGTTACAGTGATGAAAGCTGACTAAAACCTTGTCACACTCTTTATTCAATGACAGTAGATCTTTMTTTGAGAGTGAGTGTGATATTTATAAACACACATATCTACAAATGAAAGATTGAATGTTAAAACTACTAATCAAGTTGGAGCATATGTTAGTTGATGATTAAAACTGGATATAACTAAAATATTTAAGCTCTCTTTGGTTATAAACTTCTTTAATTCAGCTTTCATAAAAAAATCACAAAATGATTTTGGCATGGTGTTATTACTGGGTTATATAGAAATCCTCCTAAAGTGACTATAATAAAGAGTAATTTTCATTTGAATAAATACCTAACTAATGGTGTTCATAGACTTGTAGTTTGTTCAGGACTCAGTGGGAAAAAAGTCATTTCTAACTCCACATAACATTAGCTGGGCTGACTTGAAATCTAAGATTAACTGGAAGACCAGAGTCTTAAATCACCCAAAGTCTACTCACATCTCCAGCGGGTAACACTGGCTCTAGGATGGGCCCTAACTAGGAATGTCAATTGAAAACTGCTTAGATTGCTCACAGTATAGTGTTCAGGCTCTAGGAGCTAGTGAGCAAAGCAAAGGGCATGGCATTTTTATGACTCAGCCTTGAGGGTCATGTGGAATAACTCCTGAGGTACTCCATTGGCCAAGGAGATCAAAAAGACTACCTGATTTCAAGGGAAGGGATTTAGAAGTCACAGCAAAAAAGGAAATCGGAAGAATGTAAAGGTTACATTGTAAAGGGAACCTGTGGGATTGGATATATTGGAGTATACAGTACCATGTACCTTAATTTCATATATATTAATCCAGAATTTTTATCCATAAACTATATTTTTATACAGTTAGCAAACTTTAGAAAATATGCTTCCAAACAAAATTGACCCCATCAAAGAAATTCTGTCTGATGCAACAAACATTTAATTCATTTCCTATAGAAATTGCTTCATAGGGAGTAAATTGAGAAAATATCTTACGTGGAATCATTTAGAAATAAAGTTTTAAAGTGGACAGGAATATATCATTATGTATTTCGTGCCCTGCCCCAGTGCATGAAAATGTCATGTAGAAAGAGGGGTGCTCAATAAATAATGTCACATGAAGGAATATAAAGCCATCTGATGATGTGTTTTCTAGACATTTCAAAAAAAATATTGTGTTCTTTAGCCTTATAGTGATCCTAATATTATTGTTATATATGTAGGCCAGAATACGTGAACTTTGGAACTATTTTCAAAGATTACATTTTGCTTTCAGAATGCAGGAATCATATAGTGAGTACTCTTCTTGCTTGTGCTCAGAAAGCCCTAATACTCCTAGAGTAATAATTAAATCATATATCATAATTAATTTTACACATTCTTGCCTCTAACTTTAGGTTGCAGGCAACTCAAGGGTTGGATTGTCCCCCTAAATATTCCATTGCCAGAGGATTGTACTTCTGCTACACGGTAAAGTCTGTTCACTAACTTTTGAGAGAATGAATGAGAATCTGAATTTATATTTAAAAAAAATGAGTTCCACAAAAGTGATAGAATTTGAGAACTATGAATAAAAAATAATGTATTTAACTTAATATCAGAACAAATACACTCTTATATTTAGCTCAACGTATTACCTCTGTGTACACTGCAGTGTTTTTTTTTTTTTAAATAGAGAAGGAAAATTCTAGAAATATTTTCCCCTTTATTTAAAGTAGCACAACATCCTCAAGAGATCAGACTACATCATATCTCTCAGCTGTAGAAACGGGAAGGAGCAGGCCAGACCACCTCAGAATCCATGGTAACGTGAACAGGTTTATTATACATGTTCATGAATGTTTGTGGGTCCATGAATTGTTCACATTTCAACAGATACTTTATGATTTGTTCTGGAAGGAGTAGCTCAGGTGCAACTTGGTGCAAATTATCCCCTGGCCCCTTAGCACCCGCTTTCATAGCCTTAAAAAGGTGAAGTGCTAGTTTATGAGTCTGGGTGAGGAAATCTGTGATGACCTCATTTAAGGACTGTGACTGTGTCACATCATCAAGATACATAACTGGCACTTTGATGACTGAAACGTGCCATTGCATGAAGAACCTCGTTGGGATATTATGAGAAATGACTATAATTTTCATTTTTTGGACGAAATAGTCTGTTTCYTTCCTTTCATGGTCTAGATAATCTAAAAGAATTTGGTAGAGGGTATCACTGGAAGACTCAAGGATATGCAGAAGGGACGTGGGGTATATGAGCAATAATCCTGTCACTGCTTCTCCTGGATGATGTTTCAAAATCGACTGAAATACTTGTTCATAGTATTCGGCAATTTCTTTTTTCTCCAGGTTTGCCTGTGTGTTGGCCACTAGAAACATCCTATGAAGGAGGAATTTCTTTAGCTGTAGTCTTTGTTTCTCTTCCAGAAGGTGCAAATAGTTGCCGCGGGGTACTTGTGGCATTAGAGCTTGCAAGGATAAAGGCCTTTTGCGGCCCTTCTGACTGTGGGACAGGTTGGCCATGATGAATTCTATTTATTCTTCTAGATGATTTCAGATTTTAGTTTATCACATCATCAGGAGATATCTTTAGTGATTAACTCTTATTTCTTCTGACCAAAAAAAAAAAAAAAGTAATTGTTTTTCAAATGTTCAAATGTTACTGAATAGAATAATCCCTTCCCCAGGGCTATCAATTAAGAATGTCTTTGAAATGAAAGAGAAAGTCAGGAGACTTACACTTTAGAGATTGGTTTTAAGTTTGCAATGAAATAGCTATTATATATCCTAAGAAGAAAACGTTGCCAATGGAATGGTGACTACACATTGTTGTGTTTTTTTTTTTTTTTTGTCAATTAAAAAAATGGTATATTTATTATTCTTCCAATTTCTTTTTTATATTTAACAGTCTATAGCTTTAAAATAAAATCTGGGGCACTCTAAATCCAAGTTAACTTATTTAATATTTACTTGAAACACTAAAAGTTAAGTGTTTATTGGATAAAAAATGATACACTTTTCAAGTAGTGAGTGTTGATCTTCTCCTATCACTAAAATTACTCTTGTTTGTTATCATTCTTAAGGTTTAAATAAAAATATTTTGCTAGTTTGACTTAATCTTCTTAGAAATCCCCTGCTCTCCAAGGTAAATATTTCTTTCTTCTTTCAAGTGCTCTGCACGTACCTGCCCCAGGTCCTGCTTGCCTGTCCTCCATCATTCCACCAACTGCCAGCGCTCTGTGCTCTCAGCCCTCCTGGGTTCTGACTGCCACAGGGCATTGATGAGTTGGAATGCCAGTGGCATTAAAGGGCCAGAGCGCTCATGCAAGTCCCATCTCCTCATTTAATGAGAGTAGGCCAACCAACACGTGGATGTCACTGTAGGGGAAGTGGGGGCTTCTTTGCCCAAATGACTTTTTGTTAGCCAGGTACATTTGTAAGTCAGAGGTGGTGGACCTGACTTTGTTTCTTCCTTTTCATTTGGGTCAATAAAAAGTGTGGTTGTAGAGTTTCTCTGTTATACTAATTAAATACTGAAATAACACATATCTGGATCAGTGTGATGGTGAATCTGTTATGAGAAAGTGCAACAATTGCATTTGGGTTCCTTAATTTAATGTGATTTGAAGTTAATTTTTAGAATAAAAATTAATAATATCATCTATAAACATCATATTCACACAACCTCTAAACAACAATTTGAAAGCAACAAGGTTAGCAATCACTCTTATTTAATTAAAAAAATTAAAACTTAGAGTGCTTTTTTTTCTCATGAGGTTGCATTACTCCAACTAATGATTAAATTTTAATAATGTACAGTAATAAATTATCCCTGAAAGTGGAGGCTGAGAGGTGAGCTAATAATTTTTTAATTGTGTGATACATAAAAATCTACTGTAATTCCTCACTTCATCATTTCCCGAAACAACACAATCTTTCCCAAGTTGTTAACTTTGTCATTGCCTAGTATTGGGATTGTCATCATTCTCAGTCTTCTTACAGCTTTGCACAAGGCTCCTCTGTTGATCACAATCTGCACTATGATCTTCTCTCTTTCCCTGATTCTCATGACTCTGTACTGCCCTGAATTTTGGTTGTATCCCAATTCCTTTTCACATCTAGCCATGGGCAATACTGAGGCTCTGTGCTCATGCATATCTCCCACTCTACTTCCTTGCTCTTAGTTCAGCATTATCTATACTTCTCTTTTGTAAGGATATTTGGGTAGTTCTTGTTGCTACTCTTGCCTCTAGGTTTCATGATTGACAATGTTGATTGACCACTGATCTTTCCTACTGAGCTCAGCTGTGGACTGGGAATCTTCACTCTAAAGACTCAAGGCAGGCATAACTAGTTGGCTAGGGTTGACAAAGATGAAAAAATGAGCCCATTCCAGAATCTTCTCTTCAAAGAAGACTCCTAAATTATTTCCAGTCATTTATTTCTTATTTACAACTCCTCTTTCCTTAGGTGTGACTCTATTCTTTTGAATTTAAAAATGCCAACATTCTACTCTTTTCCTTATTAATTCTGTTTACTTTACAAATACCSTACTAGTATTTGTATTAACTTTTTTTTTCCTCTTAGTTTTCAGGCAAAAATCTTCTGTCTGTTCTCATGTTTCCCAAAAGTTATCACCAAGTTTATTCTCTTTGAAATGCGTTTAAATTCTAGATTTTCATTACCTCCTTCATAGTCCACCTCTTTATTTGGATTATGATAAGAGTCTTATGCCCTCAATATTTCTCCATCCCCAAAATTCAGCCAAAAGTATGAAATTCATTTGCCTGATAATGTTAGAAATATACTAACTTTTTATTTTGCAAAATTCCTGCTGGTGCTGGTATGTCCCCTCCATAGAATTCCAAGAGAGGGAACATCTCCCTTCACCAGGTCTAGAGTGATTTCTGGCATTTATTTCCAAACTCCAGTGATTGATTAGACCAAAGAGTTGCTTAGTGCCTCACCATTGCTGAGGCTGGCTTTGAACTTGAGATCCTCCTGCCTCAGCCTCCTGAGCTGCTGGGATTTCAGGTGCAGGCCACTGTGCCTGGTTTTCCATAAATTTTTGTTGTTGTTGTTGTTGTTGCTGTTGTTATTGGGTTATTTCCTCCACAGTTGCCGAAAAGCTATCTTAAAGGTTGAAGGGGCATTTCTCTTATATTTTTGGCTTTCATGGATCATACTACCAACTACCAATAGTAAAGTTTGTGACCAGATAAGAATAGAAATAGTGGTAGGTGTATTGGCACACACCTGTAATTTCAGCAACGCAGGAGGCTGAAGCAGGAGTTTAAGGCCAATGAGAGCTCATTCACTAAACTTCCCAAGAAAACTCAGCTGCTGCTTCCATCTTGATGTTTCTAAAGCACTGAATATTATTTGCATGATATCTATTTTTTTTTGTTTTCTGCACTGTTTCAAGAGAATCTCAGATTCCTGGCTTCTTATCACCCCTATCTAACTCTTAGATTCTGAATTTAGAAACCAATATTTTCATTTTTACATTTTTATAGTGACAATATTACCTTGCACACCAATAAGTATGAGATCAATGAGTAATTAATGACAGTAGATGGATTTGGTTGGATCACAGGAAYGATGTAGGAATTTTCCTTTAAATTTACTTTAGTCAAACCATAAACATCCTCCATTTTCAGAGAAATGACCATGCAATAGATTTATTATTAAATTTATTTTTAGTTTAAGGCCATCCTTAGCAAGTTACAGAGACCTTGTCTCAAAATAAAAAATAAAAAAGTAGCCCTCCTCCCCCCMAAAAAAGTGACAGAAATAACAACATGTAGGTATAACAAAAACTGTCCAAATAACAGTTTAGACAGTTTTTACTAATTGGCATGTATAACTAAAGTTGCACATTCTTCTTTCAATAGACACTCAGCATTTGAGTTCTCAGGTGCAACAGTTCTTTTGTTCTACATATTAAAGGCCATTTTCTTACTTMCACTCAGATGGCGACTCAAACAGAACTCTTCTATTGATTGGATAAGGAGGCATTTATGTTATTCCCCCAGAGTGATTTGTTAAGAATAGCTATACAAGTTCAAATTYAAGCCTCTTATAAGTCACAGAACTGAATAGGAAATGATGATGCTGACCCTTTTTCAATTGTTTACCTATCCACTTTGTTACTCATATCACACTCATACACAKAATATACTTGCCAAACAGTGTACTTTACTATTCCCTACATATTTTCATTGTTTTGTTGTCCAGAATCAAATATTTCTGGATAAACAAGTTTTCAATGTTCCTTTTTTTCATTCTAAAATAAATAGACGGAACAGTTAGAAAGGATTAAAATTTAAATAACCAAATGCCAATTAATAAGTATTTACCATGTAGCATGCACTAGATTGTATTACATGCACTAAATTAGTATACCCAACAAACMTATAAGGTAAAAAGATATTTGTTCACAACTTATAAAGGAGAAAACTAACATATGGAATAATTAAGTACTTTGCACACAATTCAAATTTGCTCTCATCAGCTAGTCTAGTCTATCTACCTAGAGTAAAAAGTGAGTAAATGATCTTCTCTGCCTACCCATTACCACAGGGCTATTCATCCCTCATCTTGTATGGTCATTTCCCTGAGAATGGAGGATGTTTATGGCTTGACTAAAGTAAATTTAAAGGAAAATTCCTACATCATTCCTGTGATCCAACCAAATCCATCCACTGTCATTAACTACTCATCGATCTCAGACTTATTGGTGTGCCAGGTAATATTGTCACTATAAAAATGTAAAAATGAAAATATTGGTTCCTAAATTTAGAATCTAAGAATTAGATAGGGTGATGAGGAAGCCAGGAATCTGGGATTCTCTTGAAACAGTGTAGGAAAAAAATAGATATCATGCAAATAATGTTCAGTGCTTTAGACACATCAAGATGGAAGCAGCARCTTGGTTTTCATGGGAAGTTTAGTGAGTGAGCTCTCATTGGAGAATGGCCTTCAGAGGAATGGGGCTGGGGAGTGGCTTTGTGAAAGATTTCTGAATTCATTCCTTTGGACTGTCAGGTTGTGCATTACTGAACTTGTTCCCACCTAGAATACTGGATGCACTTTAACCATCTGTGCTTTTGTACTAGAGAAATAGACCATTCTAAATCACCTCCTTTAACTTCACCCTGTGTTTCAACAGATCTAAGTGATCAGCTTAAGAGAATTGAAGGTTCAAGTAAAGGACTATTTGGATAAAGTCTTTCTTATACAATAAACTGAAGTAGACAAAATATACTTGACTTAGCAGAGCATACCAGATTCATACCAGATTGAGATTGGTTAGCAAATCACTAGACATTTAAAGATTTATTGTTAAAGCAAGCTAGATTACTTTCTTTAGCACTTACTCTCTTTCCTAGAAGTGTCATGGAACAGTGTTTGGCAATTATTTGTCAAAGATAACACAAGTTAGGAATACTTATTCAAATAAGTATTCAATGATTATTTAAATATTTAACATGTGTCTGCTCTTTGTATAAAATGTGCCAAAC